CGCCGAAACGTCAGCCTAATAAAGCTTGTATACAAACCTCGTGAAGAGTCAAAGAAAACAACTCAGTAGCAGAACATATATGTATGTTCACAAGTAGCACATATACAATAACGGTGGACTCATGTATTAAGTATGGCTGGCTTGCATGTACATATTTAGTATAGAGCTGAGAATGATTGACCTTATAAGGTCCGATCGAGTTCATTCATAAAACGTTACTTTATTCGTGATTGGACATAGCAAACACTCATTCCAAAATGCAATGAGGTTTTCGAATCGCAGAGTTTCGACTGCGTAACGGTTTGCACAAAAATCTTTTCAACCAGTCGAATCCCTTTCTAACAATACAGCGCCACGCGAAGACAGCCCCACACCCAAAAACTATGCTGTAGGCTAACCTCTGGTCGAATTTAGCCACACAGGTCAGCTTTTAATCCACGCCTTCCTGATTGCGAGATCACCCCGTCCAAGTAAGTTCCACAACCAGCACGGGTAAGGGCATGCGGTCGTGAATCATGGGAAGTGAAAATTCTAACCCACCGCCTCTTTTCGATAATGGCAGACGAAACAGCCGGAGAGGAAGGTAATCCGTGAAATGGCATTCGTGGAGACCAGTGCTCTTGAGAGCTCACAGCACATTACACGATATTGACTCCTAGATTCTTATTCCCTCCACCCGTTATGATCTTGGACCCGAAATCGAGCGTTGACGGCTCCTCTATGTATCAAGATTATCGTTACATTTTCTTGAATGCTCTCTGTATTGACCATCGAATCCCTGGTCGGGTAAATTCATTCAGCTACCATCTAGTTCATCTAAAACTATTAGTTTAATTTTTTGACATCATCTTTCGAAAGTGTTGGAAAATCGAATGAACCTCTCCTTCCGTAGATGTTGGCCTACTCTCATGAGAGTTGTCAACGCTTTGGGGATATTCATTACGTTAGTTAACTCACATGAGCGAATGGTAAACCTAACATCCACTTACATACTCCTATGATTCGGTCTAAAAAGAGTACATAAATTAGTGAATTTTTCATGAATATCGTCTTCCTTAAGTTCAGTGTCAAGCCGATTCTCCCACAAGCACTGTAGAACTTGACCAGCATTCGTTCCGCCTGCTCGATGCTCGGTGTCATGGGCACCATGTAGTCTGCAAAGCGGAGGTGATGCGGTAGCGGCCGTCGACCTTCTTTCCCAAGTCTTCCCGTTCCAAATGACAAATGGAATTCTCGAGAGCGGCACTGAAAAGTTTGGGCGGAATGGTATTGCCCTGCGGGACACCTCTCTTTACGTTGATAATGACTTCCTTGTAGAATGGTGAAATCCTGGTCGTGAAGTTGTCGTAGAGCTCACGAAGCATCCTTATATATTGAGCAGGAACACCCTGGTCGCGAAGGGTTTCATTTACCGCTTCTGTCTCAACGGTGTCGAAGGCTTTCTTCAAATCGATGAACGTAAGTCATAACGGCATTTTGTACTCTAGTGTTACTTCAATGAGTTTTGTAAAAGTGTGGATATGATCGATTGTACTGGACCCTCTCCGAAACCTTGCTTGCTCGGATGGGTCTTGCTCGTTTTCCACGAAGTGAACACTTTGCATTCCGACAGGTACCGCGTGAAGAGCCCAGCCAGAGTTCTGACGATGACTGGTGGAAGACTCTTCAGATGTTCTGGTTTGATCCTATCAGGACCGAACGTTAGCTGGTTATTGCCTGCAGCTCGCGCGATTCCACGCTGACGTATCAACTCGAGAGTCTTCGAAAGGAGTCGTCTCTTAGTTTCTTGTAGACTCAGCTTTCCTAGCGCTATCGTGAAGATGTTCCACGGGCCGGTTGTATTCTTCATCGATGTTGTCGATAACAGAATCTTCCCATTTACTCGCAAGGGAAGCGAAGCGGTCCCAGTTGATGGAGGTCTCGAGGCTTCGTTTCTTAAACTTTATAGCTCTCTCTCCGCGCACTGAGAAGCGAAATTTAGCGCGGAGGAGACGATGGTCCGATCTCGTGTAGAACTTCGGAACAACAGCGACGTCAGTCAGGCATAATCTCCGATTGAAGATGACGTGGTCTATTTCATTATGGAACTGCCCACCAGGTGACTCCTATGTCGATCGCTAATGAGAGGACATGGAAGTCACCTGGTCTGCGGATTTCCTTCACCGTGAGTTCTCTCTCCCTGAAGGATCCCCAACCGGTTAGTGACGAGGCTACGTAGGGCGTCCCCAGGTGGCGGGTAGGGAAATTAATCGCCGACCAAAAGTCACCGGTACTTGCCCAGAGACGCAGGTGTATTCAGGGGATGGACTTCTTGATTTTGCTGTGATTGGTCGAAATACCATAAGTTTCTGGCAGGCGTATTCACGCGTACGTGTGTGGAGAGTCGGTGGGTGCAGTTAGTATCCTGCCCATCGATTCAGCCAAAAGCTTGCATGAGAGTGACTGGGAAGTGTCTGGGAGGCGATTTGGGGCCGCCTCCGAAAACAAAGCCCCTCCTCCACTTCACCTTCGGAATAGCCTGGCAAGCCCCCGGAGTTGACCTAGCCCTCACGTCAGAGCCTGGCAACCTGCACATTGGGTATATACTCGCCAAAAACAGTAGCAGAAATGGGTCCCATCCCCCTGAACCTGACAGAGCCCCCAATACGGCAGCGTTGGGTAGGACCGTTCGGGAGAGGCTGCTAAAATCCATGGGCCAAAACAGGCTGCTTAAAGGGAGAAGGACTGAGATGGCGATCTGTACTTTCTACGCACGGACGCTTGCATCGGAAGCGTGTATGGAAGACCTGATGATGCAGGCTAGAAAGATCAAGTACGACGTCATCGGACTGACCGAGACGAGAAGGCATCGCCCGCTGCACGCTGTATTTGAGACTGGAAAAGAACTGTTCCTTGGAACTTGCGACAGCAGAAGCGTAGGCGGCGTAGGTGTCCTCGTCAATACGCACTCGGCCATGAACATCGATTCGTACGAAAGCTTAACAACCCGAATCTGATGTCCGCGATTAAGAAAATGTGGCTCAACCGCAGCTCTAATCATCTTCGTTGCCTACGCAACAACATCAAGCTACGAAGATGAGTTGGAGGCGTTTCATATGGATCTGGAGAGGCTCTACAGAGAAGACCGTACTTTCTTCAAGGTCAAAGTTGGTGATTTTTAACGCCAAGATTAGCCCCAGATGAACGGCTGAAGAGCTCCACATCGGGACTCACGGAATGGAATGGAATGAGCAGGGTAAAGGGCTGT